ATAAAACTATGTGATTATGTTATTCAGACTGTGATTATGTTATGCATACTGCGTATATTCAATTGTCATACTCAGCGCGTCATTGATTACGACACAGTTGACTTTATTCGACAGCAGTGCTCCTTGAAAGAGGCCTCCCTCTAATTAATACTCGCTATTGACATGTTGTGTTATGGCAGAGCAACTTCTTTTACTTTCTTGACGCAAAATGTGTGTGTATCTATGTATATCTCTGTCGCCACGAAAACGCTTTTTTAGAAGCGAATTAATAGTGCCGCGAAGCGCCTTACGACTGTCACGTATGCATTAAGGAGATCGAATGTACTGTGACCTAAGTCCGAAGACTGGACAGGAGAGGGCTGGGTAATAGACCGCTCGCATTCATTGCCAAAATCGGAAGATTGTGTTCGCGTTCTGAGATGCTCGCAGGGTATCGAGGTCACGTGAGGCGAGAATCTGGCTCCTTCTGATGGGTCATGGTTTGTGGGTACGGTAAAAATTATTCTCTTGAATTGTCGAGAATGTTTTTCAAACCAATCGCGAACAAGTGTGGCCCGGTGACATGGCGCATTTCCGTAAAAAAATCCCATAAAAAATCCAACGTTGTTTGAGAACATGAAGTCCATGAATGTTTGGAAATGATCTTCAAGTAGCTGAAAATAATAATTTCCAATCAGTTATGAGTTCAGTTGGACCAGATAACCCAGTCCATGACAAAGCAGCCCACGCTTTTATGAAGCAAACTTCAGCTTGCACATTGACTTGTTGACAACTTGGATCATGGCTTCGTGTGGTCTGAGACAAACTCGAATCCTACCATCGCCTCTTACCAACTGAAACCGAGACTCATCTGTCGAAGCCACGGGTTTTCAATCCTATAGGATCCAATTGATATGGTCACGAGTCCAGAAGAGGCACTGAAAGTGATGTGGTTTCTTCAACAAACGGTAAGGTACTCAAAAAGAGGAAATAAAGAAAATCAAATACATTTTGCATATTTTTGTTGGTAATGAGACATCAAATCCCCAATTCTAGGAATTTGTGTTGTTGCCTGTGCTTAATAGCAGCCTCTGAAAAGATTATTTTATAAAATATATCCACAAAGAATGTCACGGTCCGCTAGCGTGTTGATGAAATCCAAGCTCATTAGTTTCCTCTGCAGAGTTTTTACCACTTTGAGGTTTTATTTTCATAAAATCTCTTAAGTTCAATGTTTTGGCAAGAAAATGGGCTGCCTTGATTTAAAATCCTCGTTGTATTCTTTATCAAAGGGTTCAAAGAAAAGTGTACTAGTTATTTTTCTACCTCTCATTTGGTGAGATTAATTGTAAGGTGTAACGTCAATGAGATGTAGGTGTTATACTCAAACCTTGTTCCAAATCTCTTGTTTGCGCTCTCAACATTTGCACTTTTACCCCCTTTACCCTCCCTTTCTCTCCTTTCTATAGAGTCTTTGCATGTTTTCATTAAAACCTCTGAAATTTTAAAAATTTTGAATTTTAAATTTATTTCGGAACCTTCCCTACATTAATTAGTTTATACCCATATATCTTTCGCAGTGCAATTTATCGTTAAATATTGGATATTTAAAAGGCAATATGCACTTAATCAAAAATGTATGCGTAGTTGAGTTATATTTAGTTAGTGAAGAAAAAGTTGCGCACCAGTTTCTGAAGAGTTCAAAAGAAAGGTGTACAACTCGGGTATATATTTTTGATAGTGGTTTAGAATTTGTAATAACTTATTTCAAAAGAGAAAGTGAATTTTGTTACTTGACTTGTCAGCTAGTTGCCATTTGTTCCGAAAATGTAGGGCATGTTATAACTTGGGAAGAAACGGTGCTTCTCCCCAGCTGAACTTGGGACCCGGCGTCAAACTACACGCCAGTTGCGATTGCTCCCCAGAGGAGTACCACCCCAATCGGGACTTGTATCAAGTTCCCAACTGGCCCTCAGACACGTTTTGTAGTCAGACGCATTTGAGCGTTGGTTTATGTGTGTGTTGTGGGGGTGGAGGTTAAGAGGAAAGCAGTAGATGATTCCCAGCCGAGTGACTCGTTCTTTAATCACTTTGATTTATTTGCATATTAGAATTCAAAATAGTTACTCTGTACTTGATAGAAGAAAAATTACAAAATACACATTATCCAAAAAAATCAGGGTTACTAATTTAGTATTGATTATGTTTCTCTAAGACGTGTGTGAAGAAAGCTATATTTTCTTTACTAGTTCGTGTAAATTTCGTTCATGTGTAAAACTATGTCCCAGTATTTTAACGCGTCTTTGCTTGCATGCCCAACGCAATTTTCTCTTTATGTCTCGCTTTTCCGAACGCGTTCTTAACCTCACATTTACGACGCAGTTTTACATTCGTGCAACCATTGAGACACCTTTTCTAAAGAACGTTTTTTGAGTTCAACGACTTCGATAGTTTCATTGCGTTCCGGTGCCCGATTTTCCACCAAGCCCCGATAGATTGCAAAGAATCGTAAACTGTTCGGAAATCGAGCCAGACCGATAAAGATTACGTTATGACAATACCAAGCGGTCGCTGCGCCCTCGTTATTATACGATACTCTCTTTTACTACGGTGTTTCTCACGGGTCGTGATTTTTATCGAAATTTTCTAGATCTCCATAAATAATGCTGTGTGTCAGATCTAACAGTCTGTATGTGCTGAGCTGTTTTTGTCGTGAGTTTATTGCACGACTTTTATTTCACACTTATAAATCATGAGAATGCGTCTGTCCTTGTAGATTTCAGTGGTTCGGGATTTTCCAATTTCTTTTTTGTTCAATGTTTAATTATCAAGTGTTTTATTTATGCGGAGAAGAGGGTATGTCAAATTACACAATAGGGATAAATATTTGTACGATGGATTCAGCGGGACTAAAAGCAAGTGCATTAGTACGACAAATTATTTAATTTTCAATTTGGCTTCGAAAGCATATTCAATTATTTGTACGAGATCTCATGCGCACTATGTAGCGAGGAGCTATATTCATACGAAGTCACGTTATTCTAGAAACTTAAGTACCACATATTCACGGTGTTCAATAGTGAATAGCTGCATGACTTTTGTCGTCAATAAGCGAATTTTCGATATGAAATATTTATCACTATGTTTGTTGAAACTATTATATTCATGTTAATGAAGATAACAATTTAAGTTGTTCTCGCTTGAAGGAGTTGTTTTGTTATATTCCGTTGTTTAATTTGTGGCACCCAAAGAGAAATCACGTTACTTATTGAAGAGAAGTCGTTTAGAAATAATTTAAATATCA